GGAGCCAGGGAGGTCAGCTTAAGGTTCTTCTAGAGGCCAAGGCAAGCTGCTTAGCTATTTCAAGATGGACCACACTGGGATGTCTTCGGACTATGGCTTCCTAGTGCTCCACAAACCTGCGTGGAAGCAAGAAGTCAGGAAAATGGGACCAAGGGCGCTCTCCGCCTCCCTTCTCAGAGAGAAGAAAGTGTGTTGTTAGAGTCGAGATTGAACTCTCAGAACCTGAATCTGCACCGGGGGCAAAGAATGAAACAAATCACAGCTTTACTTGCCTTTGATGGGGGGGGGAAATCACTCGTGCTTTTTCAACTGGGATAAAAGTGAACAAACCATCTCTCTACTGGTGACTCCACTTTTCTGGGAGAGACCTGGCTTCTTCAGTATGTGAGCCCAGCTCAGCTCTTCCTCAGCATTTTTTCGGCCTATACTGCAAGGGCGAGTGAAGCCCCTCAATGACTGCTGTTGTCCAGATTTGTGGGAGCTTCAAAGTCAAAGAGCAGCTGGTGGGGTACTGGGGTCAGATTCTAGGAGGCTTCAATAACCGCTTTGCTCTCAGGGAACACACAGCAAGTGCCTGCTGTTTCCACTCACAAAGGGCTTACTCTAGTCTACCGCTGGGAGGCGTGGGCACTGCCAGTGTGATTTTAACTCCTGTGAGGACTAACTCCCTCCGCGTGAGGGTGATGATAACTGAACAGGCGATGCCAGTGAAGGTTTGCGAGCAGGTGAGCACGTCTCTGGAGCGTTCCTGAAATGACTCCTAATGTGTGCGGCCTGTTGGACTAGAATGACCTCTCAGATTCATTCCAGGGCAGAGCCCGTCCGAGCCTATGAAAAAGCGCCCAGGGCATGTGTTCTGCAAACATACAGACGCTATATAAACACGAGGCAAATATTTTAAAAGATGAAGAGTGAGATACTTGTTCTCCTGGGAGTGCGGTGGTTGGAACTCCGGCCCTGGGACATACCTCCCAGGCTCAGCCGCCTGCAGTTTGTTCTGCTTGGCTCGGTACACACTTATCTGCATTATGTGTTCAGAATGTGCCCAGCCAAAGACCAAACAAATAGCCAACGGCATTTTCCTATTAGGGTCCGTTTGTAGGAGGTAGAGCGAAAGAACAAAGCTGTTGCTTTTGATTTTTGGCAGGAAGCCAAGTGCTGCTTCAGAGCTGCGAGTTTGCTTCAGAGCTGCGAGTTTGCTTCAGAGCTGCGAGTTTGCCTCAGAGCTGCTTCAGTGCTGCTTCAGAGCTGCAAGGAAGGGAGAGGAGGGATTTTTAGCTGTGATTAAGTTAGAATCAAAGCCACAGAAAACCCCATTCTGAAACTAAAGCATTTTCTGGGAATCAAAATAGATTCCAAGTTCTCAGGGGATGGGTCCCTTAGCACAACATGAGAGTTTGCATCAAGGCAGAGGAGGCAATATGGCCTACAGGGACAGATGACACAGGGACACAGCTGGATGTCACAGGTCCCGTGTCCCTTGCTGCCAGAGAGCAGGTTAGAAGTGCTGCCCAACCTCACTCAGCTGATCATGAAAGTTCTGGGACCAGAATGCAGGACCCCGACAACTCTTGTATTTTAGGCTGCTCTACAGAAGGAACAAACCATGAGAATGGCCGTTTCCTCGAAGATCAGAAGGACTGCTGACAGTTTAATAAATGGTCTGTTTGACCAGCATGTGACTGACCAGGGCCAGTGACCCTGCGCTTGGGGTGCCATCCTGAAGGGTGCTGCAGAACTGTCTGGAATCTCTGAACCCACCAGCAGGCTGAGGGACTCAGTGCCCCTGTGAGAGGGCCTACTCAGCACCCCCATCCCGCCTGGGTGGGCTTGCCCAGCCTGGGAGGTTGTGTGCCCAGGGTCCTGCCGATTGCCTGCACAGACTCAGCAGTGGCCGTGGTGACTCTGTGGACAGAGTTTGACTTCCTGTGCACACCAGGCGGTCTCTCTCTTTTTTTTTTTTTAGATTTATTTTATTTATGCATACAAGATCTGGGGTGTATGCCAGAAGCATGGGGCGGGGGACAGTGAGAGGATTCACCAGTACAGAGTGGGGAGCAGAGGCAGACTGACTGAAATACACTGCAGAGAAGAGCAGTGGGGAAACAGGAGGGCTCTGCTGTGCCATGTGGGTCAGCTGTCTTTTTGGGGATCGCTCTCATGCTTCAGTGGCTGCTGGTAGCTTGATAGTGCTATGCTTAAACCCCTTGGGCCACCAGGGAGGGCCCAGGGTGTCTCCTTTTTGATAAACCTGAGGAAATTGAAGTGGTATTTAAATAACAGTCCTCCTTATACAGAAAAGAGCCCCCCCACCCCATAAAAGAGCACCTCCCTGAGATCCCCCCACAGCAGTTAATTTGTCCGTTGAAATCACCACGAACATTTCAGGGAGCTGTTGTTACCTGCTTCTGGAAGCGAGGGTGAGAAAGTGGTTGGTAGGCTGAAGGAAGAGAGGAGGGTTCCCTGTGACTTCCACTTAAACCAGTAAGATGTAATAAAGATGATATCTTGCTATTTCAACAATGTGGATAGAACTAGAGAGTATTATGCTCAGTGAAAGAAGGTGTATGATTTCACTCAGGCGTGGCACATAAAGAAATAAAATAAATGAATGAACTAAGTGAAATAAAAATGTTTATCCTGTAAGATCAAATTAGTGGTTACAAGAAGGGAAGGAGAAGGCCCACGGGGAGTTCAGGGGTGGTATCTATGGTGAAGGGTAAACTTGAACTTGTAGTGATGAACTTAATGTAGTACAGAAGCATCTTGATTTGCCCTGAAACCTGCATGATGTTAACTCCAACATTGCATAATGCTAAATGCACTGTTGCTTCAATAAAAAAATTTATAACAGAACCATTAAGATCCTGATTATCATTTTTTTGGCCATTTGTTGATTCATTTTTTTGTTTGCTTACATTATGATTCTCTCCAGAAACAGTGTTTGACTCAACTTAGAACAAAGTGTGTTTATGCTAAACAAAATGTAAATGAAGTCAGGCCACTACAGAGGTAGAAATAGATCTCACCTGTGAATTGTCGTATGAAATCTATGTTAAATATCAAGTTTTACTCTGACCTTTCTGGCAACCAGGCTGAAAAAGGAAGACACAATTCCTAGTTGTCAAAAGGGGGAAGATTTCAGTTGCTTCCAGAGAGACCAAAATGTTGCTCTCCTTGGGTTTCTGCCATTACTGAACACTTACTGAGGACTTCATTGCTTACTGCGAAGCTCAAGGCAGATCCCTCTCCCTCTCTGCCTTCAGTGTGTTCTTGTTTCCGGCCAGCTGGAGTCTCTCCCTGCCCCACCCAGTGTTCTGAGTTTTCATAAGCTGTGCATTTACATGTCAGGGCATGACATTGGATTACGGGGTTTAGTTTGGGTCTTGAAAAATATGCTGTCCAGGTGACTCCATGATTTGCAATTTCAAGGCAGGATTAGCAATCTTGGGGAAGTAAAGATCAGAAATCTAGTCCTGCTGTGGCTACCCAGTCTCCATCAATGGGCCTTTCCTTCTCCCTGAAGATCACTCAGCTCCTTATCTGGCCCTTTTCTGGTGCGTCAAGGCACTTTGGGGAACCCGGCATCTAGAAGGAACAGTTCAGCCATATGCACCTGGGGAATGTTTACTCAAAGGCTTAATGTAGTGTAATCTGTGTTTATTTTACCTGCTTCTCCCTACCCCCAGTGGGGAATGGGTCTATACAGACATGTAGGGTTTAGGAACTAAATTAATATTGTGCACTCATAAGGTAAATAGGACTGAAATTCAACCATTGAGCTCCTAAGCTCCATTCTGAAGTTGTAGGAGGAATTTAGATTCCTTCTAGAAGGGGAAAAAAATATATCAGTGTTAGATGGTCATTTTTTTTTTTTGCATGCTCTGAAAGTATCAATTAGCTCCATCCTCTTAAGACAAGGGGTATATCAGAAACTCTAGAACTTGTGAGTCTAGCAACAAAAATGTTACAGGAATATGATGTGTTGCACTTTTTTTTTAAGATTTATTTATTTATGCATACAGAACTAGAGTGCGAGCCAGAGGTGTAGGAGCAGTGAGAGGATTCACCAGAGACTGAGTGGGGAGCAGAACAGACGAAGTACACTACTGAGGCGAGACAGAAGACTATGTCTGTCACGCTATGTGGATCACCTCAGGGGGCTGGGGATCAAACTCGCACTGAAGTGGCTGCACCACCAGGGTGCAGATGTTGTAACAGATGTTGTAAGTGAGGAAACACTATGTTAATAGCCTCTTCTCTCAGATTCAGTTGAAGGACCTGAATATATATTGAAAGTTTATTTGTTCATGAGTTTGTTTTTAATGTAAGCATACATTATTGTTTTAATGTAAGCATATCTCTACATATACCATGTATGCATGGAAGCCTATGTTGGAGAGTGCATTGTTATGGAACTACCCCTCTTCTGGTTTTTCTTTCCAAGCCTAGAGTTAACCAGCCGTGAGCCACAGCTCCAGGATCCTGCGTATAATAAGATATTTTGAGAGAGAGTCCACACTCGCTTAATTTTTATTAGGATATATTGTTAAAATTGTAAAAATTGTTATGTTACTCTTGTTGTGTCCAATTAATGAATTAAACTTTATGATATATGTGTATAGGAAAAAATATTAAAAATAAGGTTCAAGTGTTAAGTATCCACTGGGCCTTGGTGTTCTATGGGGTCTACTGTGCTAAAGAAGTGATATATCAAACTGAGAAGCAAACTTTGTGCTCAATAAGTAGTATGAAATGAGTTTGAATTGTTGGTCAAACATCATCATTTGAAAGACCAGGTATGGTGCTGGCCCTAGGCTGGAGTTACTTGCTCCTGTCTTGATTATGTGGTCTCCAACCACATGTCCTGCTGCATATGTAGAAAAATTAGGCTTTGATCTTCAATGGACAGAAAAAATGCTCAGTTCCACTTGGAATGTTTTTATAATTATTGCGTAAGTAATGACTTGATTCTTACTTGTGCTTATTCTTTTTAAAAGTTTTGGAAAGGAAGATATCCACAAGACAAAGTAGAGAGGAGCTGATAAGAAGGGGAGTTCTTAAGGAATTGCCTGACCAAGGTGAGGAAATTAATCATACATCTAAAATAATTTCATCCTTCATTCTTTGGTCTTTCTTTATTTTCTTTGGAAGTTTAAGAGGGTCGCAGTCTTTGGGAGACAAACCAGTAAAGAATTGTACTCCCAGAATCTTGATATTTTCATATGCCTTCATGAGTTGCAGAGAATCTGAGGTATTCTGGAAGAGAAATCCAGTGACCTTTTTGGTGTCTTTCACTGCATGTTACTTTAACCCTAAAGCTCTGCAAAGGGTGTATTGTATTGTGTCTGGAGATACAGATAATATACAAATGCACACACGACTCCCTCTATATTCTCGAATTTCATTTATTCTATACAAGTTTACTCAATTGCTGGATGAATGCTGTTTCAGCTTAGTCTTTTGGTTTCTTAAGGCTACCCATAAAAAAAAAAAGAGATAGTAAATGTACATCTTATCTTTTATAATATGCTCAAATGTACGGTCAATATGGTGTGAGTGGAGAAATGAACTTCATTTGCTTTCTGATTTTCTCTTTTCCTTTCTCTGAATCTAATTATTTGTTGCTCATCTTTTCACTAACAATTATGATTTCCAAGATTTATTTTCTACCTTTAATCTTCCCTTTTTTCCTCTATCCTTCCAAAAGGTGATCTTGCTCAAAAAGATAAGGATTGTATAGAAACTAAGACAGAATCTCAAAAAAAGACAGCAATATAGGTTATTTCTCCAAATTAAATACTGAATGACTTTTCCTGTTCCCCATGCTGTTGAAATGAAAGGAAATTGTGACATTCTTGATTTATCTCCTGTGCCCCTTCAACATTTACTGGGATAAATATTATTATAGTATTTTTATGGGAGCAAATAAAATGCTATTCATTTGGAATTGAAGTAATAATACTTCTCTTTTCCTAAGGCATGTTCTTTGCAAGGAACTTAACAGTTTTTGGCATTCACTGTTTACAAATCCAAATAATCCAACTTGCCCAACCTCTGAATAATTCCAGGTGGTAGCTGGGAAATGCTTTACTGTTTTAATCTTACTTCAAAAAAAAAAAAAAATAGAGACATATGTGGTGATGTGGTGAATAATACCATTTTTCTTAGGCCCTCACAGTTAGGTATTTCAAATACTTTTCTCACTCTGTTTTATGAATGAACTTTATGTCTTCCCTAATTTTCTATTAGTGGAAGCTACTTATTTCCTGAGACTTTTACAACTAAAAAATGTGCTCCTTTTTTTTGTACCAACATGTGGCTCCTGTCTTGTTTATGGTATCCTTAACTTAGAACTATTTTAAAGGAAAAAAATTGAAAATTTTATAAATGAAACTGTAAGTGAATATTAAAATAATCATGATGGACTTAAAAAAAAAACCCAACTAATGATTGTAAGTAGAAAAGAGTTTACTTGTCCTAAAAACATGGCAGTGGTCAAATTAAAGAAATTTTGCTTAATAGTACTTGATTTTTATCATCCCAGTTCTATTGAACTGTGTGTTAATTTCATATCCTTACTTTCAAGAAAGCTGACTCCATTTGACCTTTTCTAAACTTTTGCTGCCTAAATATGAAAAGTGTCAGGAGGCAAATAACAATTTTTAACCTAAAGGTAATGCTATCGGGTACTTGTTTAGGAAGGCAAAAGATCACTGAATTTACTGTCCATCTTTTTGCAAGGTCCCAATACAGAACTTTATAGAAATCGCCTAAATTTGTAAGTTCCTGCTGATGCCTGTTGTAAATTGAGTCCTTCTTTGCAATCAGGTGTTGAAAAAAACAACTTTTTGCCATTTTCCCCAAAACCATTATCTTAAAAATTTCAGCCTATTTTTAGCTCTAGTCAGAGCCTGGAAGCTGTTGTGCTTGGTAACAACCTCCTCTCTTCTCCGGGTGATCTTGCTCTAGGCTCTTGACAAGCTTGCTACTTACACCCTTTATTCCTAGAGTGTAAACCTTTCCAACCATTCCTGCTCACCTGGGGTTAACCTTGTCCCATCCGTACTGCATTCTAGCTACTTTTATTATTCTTTTTCGATTATGTTTTTTACATGCATGTCTAACTTCAATCTGTAGAAGTTCAGCAGTTGGTGTTCTCACCTGGAAGGCCATGGTCTAGTCCAAGTTCATTCCTCATCCTCTGATTTTTTTCTTCCATCTTTTCCCTCCACTTTAACGTGCTGTTATGAAGGGGTAAATCTCTCAAATGCTGACATACTTCTTACTTAACCACTTCTTTTCGGGTGTGCTTTATCTCTTGGTTTACTCTAGCTGATGACTGAGTTTTCTCTTTGGCCTTGGATGGACTGGGATGGACTGCCGTGCAGTCTGGCCCAGCATCTCCTGCCGACCTTGTTGAGCTTGTATTTAACAGATATGCATAGGCTGTTTCAAGGCTTTATTCTAATTTTAAAATAGTAACACAAAACTAGAAAGCCATTTCAATACGCACACCAGTTAATTGTGAATCACTTCAATTCTGTTTTACTCTAGAGTTTCATATTTATCACCGGCTTGTCTCCTTTTCCTATGTGATTTTCATATTCACTAGGCTTATTTATACGTCACCGTAAGTATCTTTTCACTTGCTGACTTTCTACCATGTGCTAATAATCCAGTTTCTTCTTGTTCCTCAACTACTTAATGTTCTGTCCAGCTTTTCTGTTCTAAAAAAATTTAATCAGTTATTCGACCTATTAAAGCATTTTAATAGAATAATGGATAAGAGAGAACTAAAGATCATTAACATGACTTCAAAATATTTTTGCTATCAGTTAACATTAGCGAAAACAAAGGTAAATTTATATTTTGGTTACCTTAAAAACCAAGATTTTTATGAATAAGTGGTTTTCTATTTTGTGTGTCATTTTCTATTAGTTTTAATTTTTCCTGAGTTTAATATTTTGACATTATATTGTCTCTGCTCCCTCTTTTTTAGAGCAAGTTCTTGGGATCCTGTAATAAGAAAAATCTTTTGGTTTAACATATATCTTTAATATATTACCTTAATTTTATTGATATAGTTGATATTTATTTGAAATAGCATTTCTTTAATTGTCTACTTTAGCTCTCCACAGCAATCAGATTATTGGCACTTAGAAGTTACACAACTAAGTAGCAATTCCTTTTTTGACCATGACATAACTCTGTGACATCTATTTTACTTATAGAAATGTCATGGCTGTTTTTATTGAAAAGGTTGATGACTCTTACATAGTGGCAAAGCAGCTCAATCATATTTTAATAAAAAGGTTGGAGGTGGTCATTGTTTTCTGATTGCAAAAATAAGATTAATCAAAATTACATAAAACAGCTCTAATCACTCATTTCTTCAAGTTTGTTAAGTCAAAACTCAAATTAATTAATTTTTCTTTTCCAATAGTAGCAACACCTCTTAAAAATTTCCAAATATGTACTAGGGTTAATCTTTTCAAATATCACTGAATTAAGCATTTCTGCAATACCTCCTTCACTTTAGAAATTCCTCAGAATTATGAAAGCTCAAGAGTTAAAATTATTTATTTATGATTTAGGTAACACTTTCAAAATTTAATTTTCAGTTATGATCCTTAAAAATTTCTCCAGTAATTACTTTTTTCCACTGGTATTTTCAGATTATTTAACCAACTTAAAAACATATTGGCTAGTTGTTTACAATAATCACTTGAGTATATTTTAATATTTTCATAAGTAAAGAAATAAAAATAGTCTTACTATCATCTTTTCCTTGAATATAGAGTAGCAAATATATTACTATGCAAAGTTAACGTATCGTAGAAGTAATATTCTGGACACAGCGGTGCTTGGAAATCTTCATATTCTCCATTAATCATATGTATGTGTAATTACATTTCACGTTATTTGTATTCAATTTGTGTTTTTGGTGTGATTAAAATGTTTATTCCATTTTTTAGATTTCTCCTTTTACCTTCAGTGTCTGGGTGACAAGAGGCTCTTAGGTATTGACTTCAGAAAGAGGGCCGCCTGGGTTGTTCTATAACTAGGGTATCCATCCTGCGCTCTTGAACTAGACCTGAGTAGCCCCTCCTTAGCTGCTTTCCCTCAAGACTAAGGATTTTCTTCCTCTTCATTTTAATGAGTTATTTCGTAAAATATGGTGAAGCTGTAAGGGTGTTCTTGGTTCTCAGGGAGTGAGACCCCAAGCCCTATGGTACTAGGAACTAAGACACTGGGATTTAAGAAAGCCATCAAGTTAGACATCTAGGTGTTTCTTTCCCCGTTTTAGATGGAGATGTAACAGTTAACTTTGAAAATTCAAACGGGCACATGATATCCATCGGAGAGGAAGCTACCCGAGAGGAAAATGTAGTAAAATCTGAAGAAGGTAATGGCTTTGTAGCTGAAAAAGCACCACATCTGGAGGAAAAGGCAGAAGATAAGAAAGGTAAAAATCAAAAGAAACCCCATATTCTTTTACTTCCACACCTCAAGGTTGAGAACTGGTTCCTAGCTTCCAAGTAGTGAGTCTAGAGTCCTTAGCAACACAAAGATAAGACAAAGGATAGCTAGTGAAAAGAAACAAGATGAGTTCCTCAGCAGATAACATACACTTTACATGCAGCTCACTTAACTTTTTATTATGGAGGACTAACTTGCAGTAATGATCAGAAAAGGTGGCTTTGTCAATTCTTAGAAATGTCTGGGAACACTACCCTTTCCTTGGGAGCTTTTTCTTAGTATTTTCTCAAGAAAACATTCCAGCAATGTGCATATCTTTCCCTGCTGATTGGAACTGGCCTCTGTGAACCAATGAGTATTTACAAATAGTAAAACCAGGTGGATATTGTCAACCAGGACTGAAGGTTCTAATCCAGGTTCTAGACATTTCTGAGAACCCAGAAGAGTTCTCTATGATTTGTCAGCACAATTGAAAATTTCATATGTGCTAGGGACAGACATCCTTCCCCAAAGGCTTCCTAGAGCCCTTGACTTCCAGCGGGAATATGCTGTGGTAGATTGAGACACCTACCAAAGACAGGCCAACCAATATGCCCCAGAAGATTTCTAGATTCCTGGCCACTAAATGGTCAGTGTTCCTGACCAACACTTGCTTGACCGCGTCTCCACACCACTGCTGTCTCATGCGGGAGCAGTCTTCAAGCCTTCTACTATGCAAATCTGAACTGACACTCCCAGAAGGTAAAACTTCGTCGGGAGATTCTTGATGACTCCTTGAATCATAGAAGTATAGAAATTGGCTATTTCCAGCTCTCTGATGTCTCCCACAGAGTTAGATGCCAAAAGTTTGTCAAATCTAGTTTGTATTTTGTAGCATTTTGGGTACACTTAGAAAAACTACTGAAAACAAATTTCATTCTCCAAACACACAGGGAACAAAAGAGCATTGAATAGATGTCATAACATAAAATCATCTTCTTCAGAAGTAAACAGCTCCTGTTTATTAGCATATCATTTAATCTTTAAAATTTTTAGGAGCCCCTATTAATCTATTGGAAGTTTATTATTTTTCTTTATTCAATATTCCTGGGATTTGACTTAGTCTTGTTCTCGTTTATGAATAATGAAACGAGAAATTAACAAATGTATTTGATGATAGTATTACTGGAATAGAAAGGTGAAATCAGACCTCAATCAAACTTAATGGGATCCAAGCAAAAGTATTAATGTTAAGTAGTGGTTTTTGTTTTTTTTTTAAAGTCAAACTGTTTTGTTTCGTCAAGCTGTTAAATTTCAGATCCATCTGTGGTTTGTCCCTGGTACAGTCTTTGCACATTCAAGAATCATATCCTTCATTATGTAACAGTGCCATCTTAGTGCTGGACTGATCTGTGTGGGATGTCTGTCAGTGAAATGACCAGACTTCAAAGGAAGTATTTCCCTTATCAATCTAATAAAAGGTTGCTGACAGTTTTATGTTAATTAAACCAGCAGGTTTTGATGTTCTAAAAAGAAAATGGCAGCCACCGTAGATCTATGGACATTTGAGGGGTGTTTTTGTTGTTTTTTTGTTTGTTTGTTTGTTTGTTTGTTCTGTACTTAGAATTAGTGTATTCAGTTCTTTGTAGTCAAATAAGACCCAAGGTAGCATTGTGTGTGGCTCCCTGTGCACAGGAATTAGACTTGCTGGCAGTGCTGGACCAGTGCTGAGGGGATATTGTGGCCTCCCTCTTGCCCTGTGGACGCTCCCGCTGGAGACCCAGGAGAGCGAGGGGAAGCCACTTCCTGACAATTAAGAGACTCACAAGTCGCCTCATGGCATCGCATTTTGTTAGATGGAAAATATCTTATAAACAAAGGTGGTCACTTATGTCTCTTGAAAGATACCATTTCAGTGCCTCCCCCCAAAAAAACAACCACCACATAAAATTCTCTTTGACCTCTGCCTCTCTTCTGATGTCACCCTGATTTGAGCTAACAGCCCTATATTTTTAAAGATTTATTTATTTATGATTACAAGAACTGGGATGGATACAGGCGGGGGCAGAGAGGAGGGGTGAGAGAATCCACCAGAGACAGAGAGGAGAGCAGAACGGGCTGATCTACCTAGATGCAGCAGACCTGTCCTGTCTCCCTGCTGTTCCCTTCAGCCCTATTCTTAATGCAGCCATCTTTTCACAGTGTCAAGGAGCATTATTTTAGGTACTGATCATCATATATGCAAAACCCCATCACAGGCATTTAAAGCCGCAGATACCTGTATCTCTTTTTAAGACATGTTAGTGCTTAGATATTTGAATCAACAGTGTCAAAGGAAACAAAACAAATGGCACCTGAGGTTGATTTAATCAATGTGCTTTGCACTGGCTCTGTGGGTGGGATGCCCCCCAGGTGGTGTTCAAGGGGCTCCTGAAGGCATCTGATGCTTGGTCTTGGGCCAACATTTGCAACTTTTCCCCTGAAGACTGCAGAGCTCTTGGTCTTTCATGATTCCTTCTCGGTGAGAGCCATTAAATATGTGAGGAGGTAAACCCAATCTGCAATTTATTAACTATAGCTTAGTATATCATATGAGAAACTTCAGAATTATTTGAGTTATTACAGAGGGACTTCAATGAAGCAACAAGTGATCTGCATGCATTTGTTCCATAAATAATGAAAGTTTACCACAATTAAGATTGTTCTGGGGGCCAGGTATAGAGTGGTGAATGAGCGATGGCTTTGCTCTTAATTTGATGGTGGCTAATGAGGAGACCCGCATGTAAAAGGCCATTGCTGTACACAATGCCAAGTATTCTGGAAGGCTTGAGGGCAGAAAGCCAGGGGAGTGTGTACTGGGGATCAAAATCCAAACTGATTGCTCCAAAGTGAGGAAGATAGTTCCAAACTGAGGCCTGAAGACAAGAAAGAGGTAGTTGGGCAAAGGAGAGGAAGCGGGGTAAAGACCATATGCAGTCTCCACCCTATTCTCAGTATCACTGGGCTGAGCACTCTGGGAACAGCCAGCTAAGCTCCTCCAGACTGTTGTAAAACAGTCTGTATCGGGGCAGAGTCAACAGGGAGCCTTTCTTAACCTCCTCTTGAAAGGACAGTACTCCTTTGCACCATCAGTTTATAGCAAGTCTTCAGATCACAAGGAATAGCAAAAAATAGAACTTGATAATTTATTACCCCCAGGTACAAGTGAAGAGTTTGTCTTCTGCTAACGTGTTAATTTTTAGCCAGCCAGTCATGCTGAAATATTATGTCACCTAGTAGACATATGTAATACATTGTGTTGGACCCATTTTAGAAAAAGGGAGTTTATTATAATTAGGCAAAAAGTTACTGTTGTAAGCACAAATGTGTGCATGCATGCACGCAGGCACAAGAACACACGTCAACACACACACTTCCTTTAGGAATCACCCCTAGCAACGTAAACACTGGCGGTCTCCAAACACACACAGGTCATTGATGGATTTTGCAGAAGGAGGAGGAGTGGACCTTGAGTTTGCTTGCAGTGTTTCCATTTTCAACCTGGGAAGAATCAAAACAACCAGAAGGCTGCTGTTTATGTACATGTTTTCTGTTTAAATATAATGTCTTGATGTGCATTCGCTTGCATTGTTCTCAATCCTGGGGAGCTTTGGTGGGTCAGTGGCTTCTGGTTCAGACCAGGTGCTTTAGGAGAGTCTTAACTGCATGGTGGGTGATAAGCAGCTGAGCTGAGGAGACAACATGTGCAAATAGGCCAGTGGATAGCCTCAGATAGGATGGTGAATGAGGGGCTCAGGCAGGGTCAGACGCGGTTGGGGTCATGCTGCATTGACTAGAGTGGGCGTCATGGCTGAGGGGAGAGAAAAGTTGTGCTAATTACCTTACTGTAACATCCTTTTTATTAAAAAAGGATTTTGTTGGAGGCCAGCTCCAACTATTGAGGTATCTGGAGGCAAGACAGGCAGGACCCTAAGGTAGGAAGGCGTCAGCGAGCGGAGATTCCTAAGAAAGGGAGAAAAAGGGGAAAGGGGAGCGAGGAAGACACGGGAGTTGGAGTTGGGTGCAAGTCTTCCTGGTCTGCCTTCAGCAGAGGTTTATTTTATACATTAGGAGCAAGCAGAGGTATGACTTCAGCACACGAACTGGGCTGAGAGATTACAATCATCTTTTTTTTTCCTAAGAACAGTTTAGGGTCGTATTGCCCTTTAGCTGAGATATAACATTCTAAAATCAATCAAAGTTAAAAACAGATACATGGGTGCACAAAGTTTATGACTAATATTACTATAGTGGAGATCAACTAAGATAGAAGTCCCTTAAACCTTATCTACTACTTAATGGGTTTTTGTTTTTCTGCCTGAGTCATCCTGGGAGACAGAAGAGGAAATTCCTTGCTAATCAAATCTCTGAATAGGAGACATAGGTGAATTTCTTTATCTAAAGACTACATAGTAGAATCCTGAAAGACTAGTCAGAAGACTTTTGTGGACTCCTTTAAGGTGTAGCAGGTAGAAAACTTGACTAGTTTCAAAACAGGCAACCTGGATGAATTTCCACATCTAAAGGCCAGACAATAGGAAGTTTGAGTAACTCTTTAGAAGCTGAATAGAAGGCTAGGTGAGATAATAGAATGATAAGATTTGGGTTTTCCTCCATCCATCCGGCAGTGAGAGAGACTTTGCAAAAACAGCCCTTTTGCTTTTATTTATCAGTCAGTAGTCAAGTCATTGACTTCAGGGGAGTTTTTCACCCTGGTGCAGTGCTTGCTTGTCAGGGCAGGCAGGCTTTATGTGGCTGAGACAGTCCAATTGTAAGCTAAAAGTTGCTCAGAATATTTTGATATTACAATTATACAAAAAAGGGAGGTCATAACATAAGTTAGCGTGGAAAGTCTGACTTTTCAGAGCAATTCCCCTCCATCCGGATCTTGTCTGACGACAGAGGTTGCATAGCTTGTGTCAAGATTTATTTATTTATTCATACAGAACTGGGGTATAAAGGCCAGAGATGCAGAGGGTGAAAGGATTCACCAGAGACAGAGTGGGGAACAGAACAGGCAGATCGACGAAGTACACTGCTGAGGGGAGCAGCGGGCGGGTCAGGAGAGGTCTGCTGTGCCAGGTGGATCTCCTCCGGGGCTGGCGGGGATCGAATTCATGTGGAAGTGGCTTAAGCTTTTTAGTGCTGTGCTTTATCCTGCTGTGCCACCAGGGAGGGCCTGTAACATCATTTTTAATGATTGTTATCTCTTGGACTGATAGGGATTGGGGTCAAGAATTGAGGGAGGAGAGTTCTTGCTACACCCTCATTAGGATAAGAAATGAAACAAAGAAACTAATAATAAAATGGGGTGCATTCCAATATTAAAACCCTTTTTAAGTTATTCTGTAAAGGGAAGAACATGTCCAGTAAAGGTTTAGTCTTGTCTTAACACTATCTGATGGCTTGGTTGTTTTTTGGTTTTTTTTTTTTCTTAGTTTTCTCTATTTTTAAAGAAATGCTGCTTAGTTCTTTGGAACATGAAATGTATTTTAACTTATTTTTGTTTCAATCAGCCACTGTTAGACAAAAATGCAGTGTCCAGCATCCCCAAGTTCAGTAATGAGAGATTAACACTATTTCTCCTCTAGTTACACAAAACCTTATAAGAGGCATCTGTTCTTCGGTCTGAATTTTGAACTGCTGTCTTTTCAGAAATAGCTGTTTGTGTTTACATTGCCAAACAAACTTGGTGGTTTATTTAATTTTGGGGATTCTGGGCCCTCTGTGCCTATAGTGGCTTTACTATTTGCGGAGTCAGAAGAAGCCATCATGAAACAGCTGCCCCAGCGCCCAGGGAGACTGGAGAAAACTGTCATTGTAGAAAGTAGTTCATTCTCAGTGCTTTGCCTCTCCCTTAGCTTAGAGGATTATGGGGTTTGACAACAAGGCGACAGAGCACAAGCCTCTTTCAGGCTGATGGGACTTGAGTTCTCCTGAGAAAAGAAAGTTCCTCAGCTTGGGAACAAAGGAACCATCAGTCTGGCCAAGTCGAGCTGTCTGTCTTCGCTGCATGGCAGCTGTGTCACGCTACCTGCCACTCTGGATGTTGTTGTTCCGTTGTTAATGTTGTTAACTTTAAATGTAACACTATGCCCTTGACATTATTCTGCGACCACCAGCCGGAGGCTGGCATGGCCCGGACTGTGGATTTCTACACTCATGCCCGGTGTCACTTCATCACTGTAGCGCGTCAGTCCTGCTTGATCATGGGGGTGGTTCATGCACTAGAGGACGTGCATAGGGTTGGGCTTTCAGCCTGGGTTTTTACCACAAACTTTGCTGCCTCCACTGCAGAACTGCACGCTGGTTCCTAAGGGCCAAGCAGCCTCGTGTCTATTGCTGTCACTGTGTCCTGTTCCTTCTCCTTCCATGGTGTGTGTCTGTATCAGTCTGCTTCTGTTCACTTTCTCATTTATAGAGAACCCTGAAAACCACTCTGAAACACCGGCAGCTCCTGCTCCACCTCCTCCAGCTCTTCCTAAGCCTAAACCCAAACCTAAGCCCAAAAAAACACCAGTGCCTCTCAAAGGGGCTGCTGCTGGGGCCAGCCCCAAGGGTGACGAAGTGCCTCCTAGTAAAAAAAATATCAAGGCTCCTGGTAAGCAGGCCCCCGTCCCTCCACCCAAGCCAGCAAGCCGAAACGCAACCCGAGAGACCGGTGAGTATGCCCATCGGGGTGAGCCCTGGGTGCTCGGCCTGGGGGTGGGCTTCTTGCTTCCTCCAGGAACGATGCTCTTTTTGGTGTCTGGGGTCTCAGGAGGTATCCATGGTGATTCAGCTTTGACACCAAGAATGCCCAGGAGAGGCCTCTCTTGCTAGCTCAAGCCAATGAGAGTCAACCAGTGGATTCATTGACTTGATGAGTTTGTGGATGACTAAACGTCTTTCACCCTGAGTGTCTGGTCTCTGCCCGAGACACAGTGGTAGGGCTCAGGGGGTAGTTAGCCTGGTGAAGGGCAGAGGTAAGGTCTGATCTGACATTATATAGAAATTGACTGACTTTCTCCTGATTTGGGTTTATGGGTGGCTTTTGCGCTTGTCTTATGTTTTGCATGTGAGACTCTTTGACAAATCTGCTCGACCTTGATGTCTGCTGTCGTACTGAAGTCACATTATTTCAGCAGAATTGCAGGCTACCAGTTCAATATTGCCTGCCCCCTCCGACTTTGGTTTAGAAGGAAAATTATCCTAATGATGAGTCATAGTTAGCTACTGCAGAGCACCAAGGGAAACATGCTTAGCTGTGTACACACACATGTATGTGGAATGTATATCCAGCTACCATTAAAACGTCAATTTCTGCTGTAAAGTCACCCTCCCATCCTTCTAATGAAGAGGAGGAAAGCCTGTCATGCTATCCAACTTTTAAAAGGAGCTTTATATAGGACACTTGCTGAGGGACTTTTCCCAGTAACACATGCAGAACAGTTCTCCGGTGTTACAGCAGGCCTCGTTTTCCTTAAAACTAGCGGCAACTTCCCCACAATTGTCTACCAAAATAGACCCTGGTATGCATCATTTTTCTCCCCATCCTTTATACCCACAGTGCTCAAATTCAGAGATGTGTTTAGTTGACAGTGTCAACAGAAAGCTCTCTGAATGCAAATAGATGTCTCTCTCTCTCTCTCTCTCTGTGTTTCTCTCTTCCTTGACCTTGGACGTCTGGGACTTTTCTAATAAACTCACAAATAAGTCGCCCCAGATTCCTGTGCAAATAACAATGCCCAAGGCCAAACCCAGAGGGGCCAGCCGCCCTCACGTGTCAGTGTCCAGTCTCATGGTATCTGTGTGTGTCTTCCATGCTGCCTGGCAAACTGGGAGCTGTGCTGGAAGTGGGCACCAATTTACTTCTTAGCGAAAAACCCTAAACTATTGTTTAGTCCTTGGGACTTCAGACCCTGCTTTGCACAGACTCACTTTCCATGTCACACATGTTAGCAGCAACTTTGAGTTGTTTTTTTTTTGAAGAATTATTTTAGTTATAGACTCACAATATTCCTAAGAGAGTAGTCATATTAACCACCGTTGTAAGAGGCTCTCCTGGCCTTTGGAGTGTAAATAAGACAGTTGCTGGTCTCTGGTTATCTCAGAGAAACAAAGGGTGTATTGAAGTGTACCAACCTGACCACCAAGCAAGGACCCTTTTATCAAATATTGATAATATGCCTTCAAAATCCTACTGGTGTTCTATTTGTAAGTATTTAGGACTTTCTACCTGAAAACTTTGTTGTATTTGAATAATATTGGCTTTCTGAAAAGTTACTTTAATAAAGACAACTCTTGATTTTCAATCAGATGATTAAATTCTTTAAAAAAATTCAAAAGACATGACTTATGATTCTTCTGCTATTACTAATATAGACCTACAGAAAAGCAGATACCAGTTTAGCATTCAATTGCTTTGCTGTGGGGGAAGCTGTAAGTCTCCGCAATGTTTTTCTTTCTCATTGGTACGTCGTCTCTGAACAAAAAATGAACTTCATGGAGGCGAGATAGCATCTCTCTTTCAGTCATGCTTCATTTCAAGGCAACATAAGCAATATGGTTGATAGCAACAAAACTCCATCGTTTTAGAAGCACGTCAAGTACATTATAATAATATGGTTTGACTGTGCCCCCCAGGAATTATAAAAAAAAGCCTTTTCCCTTAAGCTAGTTGACAGTTAATTTTGCTATGTCTGAAAAGAAATATTAGAGTTGATATGTAAGAAGGGTGATGTTCAACTTAACCTAGGAAAATAATTGAACTTTACATTCAGGCACAAAATCCTTAGCCTCTCTTTTGGGAAAAAGTAAATTTAGAATGGACTTAGATTAGGAGTATGTTGAATGAGTTTGCCTTAGGAATAGGTGAGGATTGTTAAAAAGTATTGACAGGCCCAGATTTGGAGGAGGGCAAATCTAGATATTATTTAAGACTAAAACAAACAAACAAAACAACCAAGTCAGAGAGTCTTTTTTGAATCCTGGATCTTGTCACCAGTTGAGACTGGCTTTTTATTTAGTATTTCAGAGTCGAAGTCTTACATTTCACTGTCTGTTCCTTTATTTGTTTGTTATCTCTCGACCTTTCCAATTGACATCAATAAAGTTATAACTGGAGGTAAGTTGTAGTCGGATCTGTATACACTGTGGACAGACAGACCCCACAGTACTAACAAGGTCAAGTCTGGTATTTCTGTGGAAGGTAGGTTAGCCCCTTAGGAGAAAAGGAGGATCTTGTAACTCATCATGGAAGAAGCAATGGGAGAAATTTATACCAGGTGACTTGATGAAACATGATTTTTCTCATGACAGTTTGAATGCATTTCCCAGTGTGATAGAAAGAAACGTGCCCTGTGCTTTCACCTCATCCCCACAGCAGGTGAAGGTGCAGGGCAGTGTGGAAGCTTCTATCACTGGGGCCATGAGGCTTATTATTTTGGAGTTTACACTTCAGGCAGCAAAATTAGTACATTTGCTTTGGCCCAAAAAGTAACTGATGGTGTGTTCTGCAGCCTCTTCAGAATATGGGCCACTCCTCCTCCCACAAAGAGGACACCTGAGGGCATCGATGGTTTGTTATGCCCCTGGCCTTGTGCCCCCAGATAGTGCTGGTCTCTGCCCTCTACACACTGAAAGGCCCCACTGTGGACATATGAGGACTTTCCCCAGTGACTCATAGGGCAAGGAGCTAAGAATTTTCCCTTTGACTGACCCAGCTCAGGATTAGATAGAGCAAGGAGAAGACAGGATTCTTGTCCCTTGGGGGTTTTCTTCAAGCATTGCTTGCTTCCTCGTAAATGGGAGGCAGGACGGGGCAGAAAGCAAAACCATTGTCATTAATAGCCAATTTTCTTTTATTCATTTAATTAACACATTTTGAAAATGTGAAGGGAACGTTGTCATTGTCAGTTGCAACTCCTTCCTTTGACCGTTAACGTAACATCTCTCTGTTTTTAGCTGGTTCTTCTCATCCCAAAAAAACAACTGGTTCCAAAGCATCAGCATCACCGTCTACTTCCTGCACCTCCTCTCGTCCCAAAGCTTCCAAGGAGACAGTTTCCAGCAAAACTGGGACAGTAGGAATCACAAAGGGCAAGAAAAAAACTGGCAAGCAGCCAACGTCTCGACTGTCCACTGATGCAACCCCTTCCGCCACATCTGACGCTAAAGGAGAGCCTCCAGAGGCCCGGGAGGAGGGTCTCAACCCCGAGCAGACTGTCCCTGGCACCGAGGAGCAGACCACAGACAAACCCCGGCCAGACGTCCCTCCACCCCCCATGACTCCGCCACCGCCTCCCCCCGCCCCGCCTCTTCCCCTCGGAGAACAGAGCTTTGTTGCTTCAGACACTCCTGTGGTCCTGGTCAACAACGGAGCTGACCTGCCCATCCCTGCCTTAGACCCGAGTCCGCTTCTCTGGACTGAAGAGCCGACAAATAGAACCACTGTCCACTCAGGCACCGGCTTAAGTGTTAGCAGAGAAAGTGCAAAATGGTGAGTCTGGGCACACTCCCCTTGGGCCATCTGCGTTGCACAGCCCTGGCCGCCCCCTCGGGCTGAAGGACCCAGCTGTGGTTTCTTCTATGATTTGATCTAGTGATGCTAGGTGAGCGCACATCTAATCCACCGCTGGACCCTCAGAGCCCTGCCTGGGAATGCCTGGCCTGCTGGGGAGCATGACGATGGCCCTCGGGACATAGAGCCCAGAAGAGCTGCGGCTCTCAGTACATTTCAAGCCTATTTGTCACTGCCAGCAGTCTTTCTCCTCAAAGGTTTCCCTCTTCCGCTTTTAAATTTCTAGCTCTTATGTCCAGATTGCTCCTCCACTCCTGCCCACCTTCATTTCAAACAGTTATGTAGCCTCTCCTGCTCCAAGAAAATGAAGACTGTGAGAATTCCTTCAAATTCCAGACTTTTCCTCCAGCCTTAGAGCGGCTCTCTGTCTTACTTTCTCAGTTTCCCACCAGCATTCTGTGAGGCCTTTCAGGTCTCATCCAGACAGGACTGGTGACTGAATCTATTATGCTTTGACAGCCCTTTTTTTCTAACTGAGGGACAGAGATAACTACAGATTTTATTTGATCCTATATTCCCCCAGAACCAAGATAGACTTGTGTATGACAAAGCAAGCCAGAGTCTTGGGATTCATACTGGGATCCTCAGTCTACTTTGTTCCTTGTATCTGATCTCTCACAAAGTTCTGTATATTTTCTTTTTTGTGCATAGAAGAACTGGGGTACAGGTGCAGGGCATGGGAGGATGCACCGGGGACAGAGTGGGACAGGTGGATCTGCTGAAATCCGGAGCAGTGGGAGGGAGCAGCGGGCAACAGAGGAGAGGTCTGCTGTACCATGTTGGTTAGCTCCCTAGCTGGGACCAAACTCAGGCCATGACTGTGACAACACTGTGACTTAACCTCTACACTACCAGGGAGGCCAAAGTTCTATATATTTTCTATTTAACATGAGCTTCCCTGTTCTATACCGGAAGGAAGGTGGTGCAGTTAGTCTCAATGCCAGTTCTGTCTAGGAGAGCCGTAGAATTCTTAAGTCTAGTCTTTTTTCTAGAAATAAAACCAAAAATTGACCCATCAAATCATTTAATTTAATATTTTCTCTTTCAAAAAAAATTATGCTAGAAAGATTGGACAAACTAGTACATGAATTCCCTTGGTTCAAGAGACAAAATATCAGCAGTAGTTATTCAGATTTTGAGAAAATATCTTCATTTATTGAGAAATTATTTAGTGCCTGGAACTGTCAGCTATTTAATTAATATAACTTCTCCAACTATCTACTTACTAGATGACAAAGCTGATATTAAAGAGCTAGAGTAGTTTACCCAGGATCACCCGGTTAGTGAGTGGCAGAAGCAGCAAGCAAACACTGACGACACACGGAGACCCACGGAGACCCATCTGTGATTATTTTCCTCCAAAACAGCTGCTTCTGCTAATTCTGTATTTCCTTTGTCTTTTTTTTTTAAGTGTCCCAATTCAAAGGAAAGATAAATGTTAAATTACACATTATTTTGTCTGTTGGATATTTTCTGAAAGATACAGGAAAAGGTAATACTGAAATTAATGGTGTAGTGTCTTTCCAACACAAAGATGCCTTTATTTTATTACAGTGAGTGTTTTCCAGCACTCAGTCAATTCAGAACATTTGAATGAAAAGCCAGTCTTACATATATCTATATCTTTTGTACCTATTTTTTGCTTTCCCTTTGTATACTGGGCAGTATGCCAAACACCAAGATACAACAATGAGCAAGAAAAAATAGCTAAGATTAGTTTTTGTCAAAATTATGTCCAACGTGTCCAGGACAAAGATAAGGTCTGAATTTAGAGAAAAAGATTATTTAGTATATGATTATTACTCATTTACTAAAGAACAAGATGCAGCATAGAAAGAAGGTCTGTAGGCAGTCTTAAAAGCAACTGGCAGAACCCATTTCAAACTATGACCTAACTCTGTCCAGTCTAGTTCTACAAACATGTTGGGAGGACATGGTATGAGATAAACTCTGCTTCATGCTGAGTCTTTTTTTTTTTTAAAGATTTATTTATTCATTTATACAGAGCTGGGATACAGGCCAGAGGTGCAGGGGCGGTGAGAGGCTTCACCAGAGACAGAGTGGGGAGCAGAACAGGCAGATCCACGAAGTACACTGCTGAGGGGAGCAGCGGGAGGGCCAGGAGAGGTCTGCCACGCCATGTGGTCACCTCCGGGGCAGGAGGGAATTGAACTCATGTGGAAGTGGCTTTTAGCTTCTTAGTGCTGTGCTTTAACCCGCTGCGCCACCAGGGAGGGCCCATGCTGAGTCTTAACCTCGGTCTTCAGTCCAGATGTGTGGGAGATTGCCTAACCAAAGCGCTTGTTCTCCATTCCACTGGGGCCATGATCAGGGAGAGTGCTTTGAGGACATCATGGTAGTTATAATAGATTTTTCTATCAGTCAGTAACTATAACGCTTTACTAGAAGAGGGTATAGAGATTTTTTTCTCACATATATTCTTCAAAATTGAAATTTTAAATTACAAGTCATCCCACAAGGATGGTTTGTGTTTGCTCTTGGTAATGAGCCTGCACTATATTCTCTTAAGTTTCCTCCCAG